CCACACTTAATCATCCTCCCAAGAAAGATGGATCGATACGATTCATCTCTGATTTCTGGGAACTGAACAAAAGGTTTAAGCGGAAGCCTTATCTTATCCAAAAAATACAGGAAATGCTATTGAATCTAGACGGATTAAAGTACGATACTAGTCTAAACCTGAACACGGGACACTACCACATCGCTCTGTCACCTCACTCGAATCAACTCTGTACCATCTTACTCACGTGGGGAAAGTAAGAGTACCAGAGGTTGAAAATGGGCCTATGTAATATTCCCTACATCTTCCAAATGAAGATGAAAAAACGCATCATGCATGACTTAGGAAAAGTCCGTGCATACGTTGATAATCAACTCATCCCAACGGAAGTCGATCTCGCAGATCGCTTTGAACAGTAGGATGACCCTTCCCCAAAGACTCCAAAAGGTCGGGATTGAAATCAACAACACCAAGGCCTTCCTCGAAAAGGAAGAACTGGTTATTACTTAGACCAGTATTGGATTACTCGAGAGGGAATCCAACCATTAACTAAAAGGATAACAAATTCGATCCATCTATCGCTCTTCCTACCACCAGGAAGAATTCGTTTAGAATCATTGGACCAACGAACTACCAAAGGCTGCTCCAAGACAGCAGATGGAGTATAACCACCATCGTTTTGAAACAGACGTGGGTTACCGAGTATCCATGACCGGCTGTCATGGACAGAGAACTGTGGGAGTCGCCGTGCAGAGTAGAGATCGAGAAGACTCTCGGGATGAACATGGACTTCGTCCCAAGTTCACGTCTCCAGCGTTCAATTGTGACAGCAGACTCACTGCAATCCTTTTCGAAGCAAACTGAAAATACATTAAGGAACGTCGCCAATTACTTATCCAGAAAAACACGATAAGGAGAACACGGAACGTTTCCCTCATCAACACAATGACAACGATACTATGATGATTCATCAGTATCGAAACCGTTATTACGGTCAGCCAACGCTAACAAAGGTCCTTACAATATCAACCGAGTCAATAACAATGATGGCACTGTACGGCTCCGACATACTACCCGCCAATAGCGGCACAGACTACCAGACTCGGAACATAAGGTATTTACAACCATACAAGGCCTGATCCCTTTGTAGGATTGCCATCGTCAGACGCACATGTCTACATACCAATCTCATGAGAGTGCCCCGCACTATAAATCATATGTTCTCCTTGTCCGACTGATGTCGTGCCTTCCGAGACCCTTGTCAGGGACGGCGCCGAATGCAATACACGGCTCCTTGCCTTATTCGCGACTCAATACTAGATAGGGTTTGATTTAGACTCATGACTGAGTATCTAGTGATTATGTCAATTGAACAGGGTTGTTCTCCAATGACCGCTCTAGTCATAATAGGTTGATGATGAAAAATCGCTCTAGATATTTAGCCACCGTGGAGCACTTCCACGCTACTAGATAATGCTGGACGAATCTTCCACGCGTTCCGTTTTAAGATCGTGTAGATACGTAGTATTACTACCACAACCCACTCTATCACACTCTACAGTCTCCCCCGGTAGTTCAGATCTACGACCCCTTGATTGTGGATCTCTCCCGTTGATCTATGCGTTTACATAGTTTCCTAATCTCTCTCATAACTTTCATTCTCTCAACCTCAAACAACTCGAAAGATCTTTACACTAGCTTTACGCGTAGCTGCAGCATCGTTCGTATCCAAAGTGGCCTTCTTTTTGAACAATGTGTGCATGATCTTTATTGCTTCTTTCTCGTTTTGCTTGACGGGTATAAAGTTTTGACATGCATCTCTCGCATAATCTTTGAACTCTTACATTGTTTGCCTACTTGGATCATTGCATTTGCCCCCTTACCCATTATCTGCATTGGTATGAGCTTCCTCATCAGACAGATCAGCAAATGGATCAAAAAAATCTGCAACATCACTGGAGTCGGCTTCACTTGCCCCATTCACCGTATCCACTTGCACAGTGGGAAGGGGAGCATCGTTTGATGCGTTTGCACTTGCCTCAACGTCTTCCTCATGTGCTCCTTGTGTTCACAGTTCTCCGTCCCAATAAACTGCAATACTATCTGTGGTGGCATCCACTGTTAAGTCACCTCTTGTCTGAAGTGCTTCTTCTTCTCTGTCATTGATTGACTCTATGGCCTCTAATTCTGGCTCCAAGTGCATCTTCTTCCTAGGGTCTTCCTCATCACTTTTTCCTCTGGCACGCTTGTCTTCCTCATCATCTTCTTGCTCTCCTTTTTCTACCACCGCCATTGTCATCATCCCCACGGTCGTTGTCGTTGGAGTCAGGGTCAGTCCGTGTCTGAATCGCATGCAGGATTCGGCAAACTGTATCCTGATGCCGCTTCAAACCCCAGTCGGTCTAGCACGTTTTTAAGCAGTACGGCACATGAATTTGACCAACGTGCGTGTTTATTTTGTGCAACTGAAAAAGATTTGAGGGGTGGCAAAGTTTTTTCCTTGGATAAGCGCAGATATGCGGTCAGGTCCAAGGGCATAAGGAAAATGAATGCCGATTGCGAAAACTGTTTATAGCTTGGTGCACAAAAAATGTGCCCATTTGCATGTTGAAGCAGGCGCACCCACAAGAATCTTGTTCAATAGTAAAGAATGTTCTGTTCTCCATGCACTTTCGTTAAGCATATGCGTAAACACTAGTTGTAGCCTTGCTTATTATGACGCAATGTACCGTACGAATCTATAGGCATTTGACGCAAAGCTGAGTTAATAGTAGGCACCTGCATCGGACTGTAGAGGCTCTTGCACAAGACCATCACGCACAAGCACACTGGTAAATTGGGTGGCTAAAATGCGCTTCTTAGATGGTTCCCAGACTGCCACTGCACGATTGAATAACGAAGGCCCCCAGCTCCTGAGGAGAGCTGGCCCAAAGGGTCCAGCAGAGAGCTCTGCTGGCCCTCCTGTCTGACTGACAGGACCAAGTCCTTGGTTTGGTGCCTACTGGAGGTGTTGGAATACTCCTGAGGCACGACAAGGCTCCCTGAACTGCCTGACTACCGCTGTCCCTGAGGAAGGGTTTCAGCGAGACCCAGTCCAATACTTGAGTATTGGAACTGAACCTTCCAGAAACTTATTGAAACTGTCCTGGGGCCAAGCTACACCGTCATTGGAAGATCCCCGCGTATGGAAGACATTGGCATTGAGCGGCTACCTTCCTTCCCCTGATTTGGGCCGCTTGCTTCTTTTGACAAAGAAGTATTGGATTGATCCAACTGATGCCCATGATGACAATCAAGAAGACAATGTTTGGAAGTATCTCTGTTTCGATCACTGGGGCTGTAGTACCGCCAATGAGCTGCTTCGTCACGCAACAGAAATGACACCCCAAAGTCACTTCCTTACTTTTGCCTATCCACCCCCAAGCCACAAGGAGCGAAATCCTTTACCTCCACCAACATATGAGCCCAAAGACTAGGTGATGATTGTGGATGTCCGTACCATGGACAACCAAATCCTCTTTTCCAAGGCTGTCCCAGGCAACGATATTCCTGAATTCTTTTTGGAGGGAAAGACAGAATCAACCCCCCTGCAAGCACCAATTTGGGGTTTTCACAATTTTGAAGGCTCCTTTTCCAGCTACCAACAATTCTACGAGGATTGGCTTCCACAAGGGGTCGTTCCCTTTGGCACCCATTGGAAGGGAACAGTGCACCTAATGAGGTTGCCAGACCGAAAGGTCATCCAATTGGTAGATGTTCCTGAATCCNNCCCCCCCGAAACGGATGAAGATAAAAGCCAACACATCTTGCAGACAGTCCTCAATTTAGGTTGTAATCCAGAAATGGCAACGCGCCGAACGGACAACTCACTGTTGCCACATTTAGGCCTATACGATTCTATATATGACGCTGGGGGCATGAATATGAGCCTAACAATGCAATACAAAGTCAAGCTGTCTGGATCCAAGGTGTCACTTGGGATCCTTGGCTTCTGTGTTCATGTTGTCCTGTGTGAGCGTGGTGGTTTTTGCGCCCCAATCAGCAAACATCTTCAGGAGAACGGCTTGCAATTTGCACAAGTTCTAGAGGCTTTGCCAGAATGGCAATTTGCTCCCATCCAGTCACAGCAGAAGCCCTGAGCAAAAGGGAGCTTTGGTGTTGCTTTTCTTGGAAGAAGCTTCATTCTCAGTTGTTGTTTATGGTGTTATGCAGATGCATGTGATGTAGGTAGACATGAATTGAAAGTAAAGGCATCAATTCAGCTAGCTAGAGTCAACGTGTATGCTGCGAGAAACACAAACATTGTTGTACCATGGCACACCAGCACATTCCGGATTGAACATATGGTACGTAGAGAGCAAGCCTTGGTAACATGGCAGGAGCAGATTAAGGGTAGGCGACCCAAGAGGACCTTGCCTCTCTCATAAATGCCTGCCCGGAAGGTGCTACCAGAGCCCATGAGCCCATTCATTAGCGGTACGGGTAGCAGGTGGCTTGGATTAAAAAACTCTTAAAAAAAAATAACGAGATTTTATTTTAAAGGCTACACCTCGTCAGACGATCCGCTGAACGGTGCCGTGACGAACCCATATACCTCAGGCGCACAAGTGCGCCCACTTAGGATGGGCCTAGTGTAAGCCCCCCACCGGAGAAATTTAACAAAACTCCGGAGGGTGCTGTACGACTAACTAGCTACCCTTGGCTGGATTGCCATCTATTTCTGCGGTAAGACCCCCTCTGTGCATAGTTACCCTGTGTCATTGTTCTGCACTGTGCGTGCATGCTCGTCCCTGAGTGCCTTGTCGACGACGGGCAGCCAATTGGCAAGCCACGCTTTAATGTCGCCTGGGCCCTTTGCCATTTGTTCGTCAAGCGGTCGCTTGAAGATAAACTCCACCAGCTCTGCTGGGATCAGATCCGCTTTCTCGTAAATGAGTTCCATCTACCGCTGAAGCTGTTCGTGCTTCTTCTTCCACTGATCTTCCTTGTCTTTGCCATGCCTGGCAGCATTTCGATCCTCCCACAGGTTCCACCACTGCTTGATGAGCAGTGAGGCTAGGTTGGTGACCCAGAGCTGCCCTGTCTTGGTGGTCTCCTGGGAGCCGACCCGATGCAGATATGCATCTTGATGCTTAGCCCAGTGCATGGACAAACGTCCTCGCAGGAAGTTGTCCCAACCAATGAGATTTTGAGTGTCGACGAGGTCCCTATACCTGTCAGGGTAATGCCATGGGTGGAGGAATCGATCTTCAAAGTGGTATTGTAGTCCATCCAGAGCAATTTCCAGGAGGAAGGGGTCGGTGGAATCCTTGCGCAACTTTGTGCTGATCGCTCGTTGCATGGTCCCTCGCCACAAATCCACGTCAACATGCGGGCATCGGTAAACATGGGTTTCAGTCTCGTGATCACCGCCACAACGGGGACAGTGGTGATCATACTTGGGGTCATCCCGGTGATCCGTTTCCCAACTGGCAACAATTGAAATAGGAACTTCACAATTGTCGGTTTGTGGATCTCGTGACGGTGACAGCTCGACCATGGGCTGTCCAATCAACCAGTGCAGGGGTGTCCTCGTCCCAGTCGGGATTCAGTTTGACAATGTGGTCGAACAGGGGCTGGTCGTTCCTGAGATGCCGCAGTGTTCTGGGGAGCTTGTATGTGCATGTTCCTCTGGGAAGGTGCAGCTGGGCCAGGTTTGCCGGAAATCGGAGTACCTTGGAGTGATCCTGTGTCACGTGTCTGTTCATGTAGCTGCCTGCCAGTTTGTCAGCTCTGCAATTCAGTTGTGCTTTTAGGGGTAGGGTTTCGATGGCCTTGTGCTTGTCCTGGTGCAATTTGATGTGCTCCATCTTGGGCACAGTGACTGCAGCCCGGAACGAATCCTCGATCTGTTGCAAGACATCCCAGTCGGAGTTCAACGAATCATTGGGGTACCAGCCCTCGTACTCGAGACAGGTAGCGCACTTATTTGTCACAGATTCATTGTCGCATAAGTGTACATAATTCTTCATGCTGGTCTGATCGTAGAACTCCAGCAATCGTCAAAGAAGGCAAGTAGGGGATAGAATGCCATAGGCCTCCGCCCTGTATGAAGTCGGAACCATACCAAAAACTGGACCAGAGCACCGAAGCACAATTTGGCCGCGGTTGTCTGCCAGGACCCATGCAAAACTCGCCTTACCGGCTTCAATGTCTGCAGCCCACGCTGGCCACCCAGAAGGCATGGCTGTGACAATCTGCAGAGACTGAGTAGGCGTCCACCATCCATTCAAGTCGTCATAAGAGCTGTTCCCAAGGCTCCAAAGTGGCAGGAAATCCTCAATGTTGTCGGTGTGGGTGGTAGTGGACGAGCAGGAATGCCGCTGTGAAACCACTACCAACTACCACTGTCTCACGCTTGTTGAAGAGGTCAGGTCTAGGACTCGCCGCTTTCCAAAGTCTGGCTGGACAGAGGTGCAAGATCGGGGGAAGTGGGGATCCAGTGGAACTGTTTCTTCTTCTCCTTCTCCTGCGCAAAGTACAACTGTTTTGTTAGAGAGTGATTCATGATGGGGGGGAGAGCAACATACATGAGCACTCACACTTTTGTCTGAAGCTTTTGCCTTTTCTGCCTGTTTCTTCTTCTCCTTCTGCTGTGTAATGTACAACTGTTTTGTTAGAGAGTGATTCATGATGGGAGAGAGAAATATACATGAGCACTCACACTTTTGTCTGAAGTAGCAGAAGACCCATCTTTTGCACTCTAAACAAGAGACGACAAGGGGGGTGAAGTCAGTGAATCCAGGCCACTGCATTAGTCGAGATGGCTTTTCTACTCTTTCACTCACAGTGGCCTTGGACGCCTTTCGAAGGCCCTTTAAAGCTTTGGCGGCAGCTTCTTGTAAGAGCTGCTGTGTTTGCGCCTGACTGTCTGTCCCTTTGTCTGTTTCGAGTGTATGCACTCGCCCTCTGGTCCCCTTCTGGTCACTGTGCAAGAATTCAATCTGCTTTTCTGCAGTGGACAAGCGACTGGAAAGGGTCAGCACTGAATCTTGGATAGCTTTGATGCCACTATTGATCTCTTCCAAGGTCACCTACATTGTCGGAAAAAAGGCAATGTAATTTTTGGTCATTAGACGAAAGGGGAAAGCAAAATATCATACCTTGTCAGACGGGCCAGGACCTCCATGATGGTTGATGTAGCTGTCACATCTGAACAGAGCAGAGTCCTGCTCCCTGAACAAGCTTGACTGGAATTGCGGAGGTGGTGGACAGGTAGTACTAGAGAAGATCCGGGACTGACTGTTTTGCTTCTGGTGTATGTCCCCATTGCCTATGGCTGTGTACTTATTCTGGTCTACATGCCGCTGAACTGGGAGGGGAGAAGGATCATAGCATGGTTAGAATGGGGGCTGCCAACAAAAGACATCAACGCAACATGTATATTACCAAGGCCCACATTGCCTTGTTCCATGAGGGCAATGCATTCTTCGGTGGTAATAAGCTCCGGAAGGGTTGTATCACTCATTTGAAATGTCCTTGGTGGGTTTCCAACATCACCGGTGAATGGCATGAACTCGGAGAAATCGTTACTGCTGGGGGGTATGATCTCTTGAGTGGGCGGGGTAATAACGGATAATGTAGGTATGTTTGTGTCGGCTTGTGCACGGTATCTTTGGCGTCTTGCATGCAATTTCAGCGCCATTGGGTATAATTCTGTGATGCCCCTTTTCGGCTTGTGCTCACTTTTTGTATGCACTTGCGCAAAATGTCCGGGGACTCCGGCAAATCTACGTGCCGTCCTATCAATTACCCAAGCTCACTTTTTTGAGGCATTTGCGCCAAATTTCCACGCACTGGCATAAAGGGGCGTACCGCCAGATCTCTTTACGGAGCACACTTTTTCGACGCACCTCCACAAAAATATGACGGACTCGCAGGGACATTATGTTGTTCATTTGGGCAATATGAGCTTTGAACGAGTACATGATTTTGCGTATGTGGGTAAAATAGTGCCCTTCGACATGATAAAGGACCCACATAAATGAGTCGCTAAAATTTGATCCAGCGTTTTGTGCAACTTCCCCATAATATCCACTTTGCCCAAAAATGCGCTTCTTAGAGGAAGCTTTGACGGCATAAACTTGAGGTGCATCTAGAAGAGCAACAGTCAAGAGTGCAGAACTGCCCCCTCGAAGAGCTAAAAATCAGAGGCGGACGACCTCCACATCAGCTTTCTCTTCCAGTTCTTCTAACAGCAGCTCTTCTACCAAAATATCTTTACCTAGCCAGCATGATGATCCGGATATTTGCTTTTCCGCTTCAAACGCAAGCCCAATTTGCTCCGACACATCCCGCCATGAGAATTTGCAAGCTGC